GATGGATGGATGGATGGATGGATGGATGGATGGATGGATGGATGGATGGATGGATGGATGGATGGATGGATGGATGGATGGATGTTAGATTATCAAACAACAAGCTTTGCACATCTCAATCTAACCTCTTAGAAATAATAAATTGCACCAAACTACTTTAATTTGCATATAAATACCACTTTCCAAATATTAGCTGGCTTTTTGGAAAATAAAAAATTAAAAGCATCCAAATAGAATGCCTTAAAAACAATGACAGTATTGTGGAGAAATATTGGAATAAAATCAAATTGGGAAATAACATTTTACAAAGGCAATTGAAATGTTAGAGAAAAAAAATAAAATTTAAAACACTGGTGATATGATTTGGCTTATTTTCATAACAACAAATATTTCCTCAAGGCACTTTACAAGTTAAACCAATTAGTCTCAATACAGGAGTTTTAAGTATGTTCGATACAGTTATATGGACAGATATAAAATAAACGCACCTTAATACATCACATATCCTAGTTATAAAATAATGCTCTAAACTTAAATTTTATTTATGCCAGTTTGTAGAAAAAAATCTCAGCTGACTCTATGCACTTGGAAGCAGGATAAGAGATACTTCTAAATACTACAGTGATGTCTCACCTGAATTCTTCAGTAAATAAAATCATATATAAAAAATAAGGAAAATATCCAATGTATATATGTATTATTACTAATGACAATATTATACTTTAAATAATTAAATATACCTTCAAATTTCTTACAAATTATAAAAAAAAGAAAGCTCTTACTTTGTAAGAGCTTTCTTTTTTTTTAAACCTTATTTCAACCCAAACAGGACAGCGAAACCCAAAACTGCCTTACCACCTTGGATACTTACTGATGCTGAAGTTGATGTTTCATTATTAGAAAAGAAGAACAAAAATAAATTTGAAATTATGAATAACCATATAGTACAAATGCACTTAAATAAATATTATAAATATATACAAATATATACAGATGCATCAAAAAATACAGCTAATAGGGTAGGGATAGCATTTATTATACCACAGTATCAAATTAAGGTAGAAAAAAGGATTAGTGATGGAGTTTCTGTGTGTACAGAAGAAATGCTCGCTTTGCTTTTAGCAGTTCAATGGGTGGAAGAGGTAAGACCATTAAAATCTATAATTTTTTCAGATTCTAGTTCGTCATTAGTCAGTTTGCAAAATAATCATGCACACAGTAGGCCAGATATATTAACTGAAATACAACAAACACTTTGCAGAATAAATATGATGGGACTAGTAGTAAATTTATAACGAGAGTAAGGGAAATGAAATGACTGAAAGGATGGCTAAGGAGAGTACAAATAAGGTAAGGATAGATATTAATGTTAGTTTTAGTATAAAAGAAATAAAGAGTATATTTAAACAAAAAACAAGAGAGAGGTGGCAAAAGTTATGGGAGGAAGAAAGAATAGGTCATTATTTTTATTAGGGAAACATCAGACAGGGAAATTTGACTGTGGGGAAGATGAGACAGTGGAACATGTTATTTTGAGTTGTAGGAAATATTTGATTCAGAGAAACAAGTTAATTAGGAAACTTAGTAATATGAAAATAAAACTTGACATCGTTTATTTAATACAAAAGGAAACAAGAAGCACAGGATATCAGATTATATTTGAGTTTTTGAAACAGATTAAATTGTATAACAGGATATAGTTTTTTTTTTTTTTGTTTTTTTCATGCGGGCCACACTCCTTACCGGTTGGTGGCGGTAATGCTCACCTAACGTTTTTGCAAGCGCCATAAAAATTTCAACAACAAGAAGAAGAAGCGGAACCCAAACACGATGATGCAGGTTCCGCCCGGCACATTGAAGGTGTTACGCATATCACCGATAACGAGCTCTGCGTTTTGAAAAATCTGCTTACGTGAAGGTGGTAATTTATGCAGTACTTAGATATTGGGTAAGGTCTTCATTAACCATATATCATTGTTTATCATTAATTCAATTAGAATTTGAATGCGTATATAAAAGGGGTAAACTCCCTTTTCTAGTTCAGTTGCCGGACACTATCGTGTTTCTGACGTTTAGAGGCAAAACGCTCCGGATATGAACATCTTATATGCTAGGTGAGAACAGACCTTACCTTTTGAGTGATCCTGTCTGTAGCATTCAATAAGACATGGCGAGCGACTCCTGTGTAGACATGGATCCGGATCTTGCACGGAGGCTGTTTGAGGAAGGAGCTACCCTGGTCCTGCTGGGTGTTCCTCAGGGTACAGAGCTCGGGATTGACTGCAAAAGTTGGCAGGTGGGTCCTCGGTTCAAGGGAGTAAAGATGATACCTCCAGGTCTCCACTTTCTCAGCTTCTGTTCCGCTAACTCTCCAAGCTGTGGTGGAGAGATTGGTCCCAAATCAGGCCTCTTTCTCAATCTTAAGTCCAAAGAGATCCTTGTGGCTCACTGGGACCCCAAAGAGGAGGATTTGGATTTCTCAGCCTCCAAGAATGACGAGGAGGTGAACCGGATCCGGGACACATTGCGAGAGCTGGATCCCTACCTGGGTCCTTATCCATATGAGGTGATGAGGAAATGGGTTTCCCTCACAGACCAGATCAGCCAGGAGCTGGCTGTGAACCTACAGCCTCTCTCAGGCCGAGTTTGTGCTTTTAGCGATGTCATTCCTGAGCTGCAGTTAAGACACACCAAAGACCGGGCAGAGCAGCCGAGGAATGACACAGCCTGTCAAAGCATGAGGGAGGGACTGGACAGGCTTCCAAAGATGAAACAAAGGGAAGGAACAGAGTTACGCTTCTCGGTTATTCCTGAGAAGAACTACCCTCCTGGAGCTTCTCCTGCAGAGATCACCCGCTGCAGCATGGACCTGAGTTACTCCTTGGAGACCGTGCTGAAGAAGAGCTACCCTGACCAACCGATCAACCTGCTTGGTGTGTTAATGCTTTTTTTTTTTTTTTTTTTACTAATGATCATTCTTTTACATTTTTCTTTAAATATAATTGTTTTATCTGACACCTTCCAGGTGAGCTGCAGTTTGCCTTTGTGTGTTTCTTGGTTGGAAACGTGTACGAGGGCTTCGAGCATTGGAAGCGCCTCATGGCTCTGCTCTGCCGTTCCGAGGAGGCCATGAGGAAGAGGAAGGAGCTCTACCTGGGGCTCATCACTGTGCTCTACCACCAGCTTGGTGAAGTACCCCCTGACTTCTTCGTTGACATCGTTTCACAGAGCAACTTCCTCACCAGCACTCTGCAGGTAAAAACAAATCAGGATCTTTTCTAGCAACATATTATTTTGGATAAACAGGTCAAATTGTGTAACATGTATAGCAATGAAATAACAGTCAGTCAAAAGCATTTTATTACGGTTCATCTGTACAGTCAGATTCAGATCCAAGTAGAACCAATAATTTCAGGATTCAGTAGTTTACTGCAGATTTCAGCCAGCTGGCAGGGCTCTGATGTCTTAGATTATTTGAAATTATTATTTAGAAAATGTATTTTTGTGTTTTATAGACTAAAACATCACCTAGTCTAAAATGTCAAAAAATTAGATCAGGTAAAAATCAGAGTTAAAAATCATGTCACACACTACAACATTTTAGCTAAGGCTAATTCTCAATGCCTGTCCCCAGTGAGGCTTTTACACAAAACACAGTGACTGTACAACAGAACAAATAACACTCTAAAACTTCACAGATACATTTAATGAATCCCTCAACATTGTATGCCTTGCAGGATTTTTTCCAGTTTGCCACTGGGCCTGGTGTGGACAGCACCCTGGGTAAGAAAGCAGAGAAGTTCAAAGCTCACCTAACCAAGAAGTTTTGCTGGGATTTTGATGCAGACTTGGATGACTGTGCTCCGGTGGTGGTGGAGCTGCCTGAAGGCGTCACAGTGGACTGAAACTTTTCTCTCCTAAAAATGTATTGCATCATTTTTTCTGCTTAGTATTGTTTATGTCATGTAAAATCTATGAACAGAATGCACATTCTGTAAGCTTAATGTTGAAAAGGCAACATGTCATTGAGTTAAATGTATTCTTATAGACTTAATACATGGGAAAAGATGCCTTTTCATCATGTTTAATGTCACTTTCAGAAATCATCTCCTTTTAAGTTGGATAGTATAATGTAGAAATTTAAACATGTGTCAACACCTTTTATGAATAAATATTAAATTGGGGGGGGGATGCATTGCAATATGTCAAAATGGATGAATAGTTACAAATGAATCTCGGTGTATTGGGATCTTTTTGGTAACCATTATATAAACTTGTTACTAACAGAATTTTTCCAGCTTTTATTTCTAAAAATGTGTATATTGCCTTACAGCTAATGAAAGGCTGACATTCATTTTGTCAGACAGTGAGGTTACTTTAAGACTTCTGCATTGGACTCTTAAGTCCAATGCAGAAGCTGTCAATAGTGCTGCTACCCTCAGGTTTAAGGGGGAACTGCCTGTTATGACAAATAATAAAAAAAAAATAATTAAAAGAATTCCTGCATCCAGATAATGATGTGAGTCACCACCAACATTTAGTGGATTGTTCCTTGGATCGAGGTGCACCTTTGGTAACTATTTCATTAAAATTCCTTCAAAAATGTTCCAGTTCTCCTGTAGGTTACACAGACAGACAAACATCAAACACACACAAACTGGACTAAAACGTAACCTCCTTCTTTGTGAGGTTTATTTGTGGTTGGCAAACAATTTAAATGTGCATTACCTCCACCCACCAGTATGGATTGTGGAACAAAATGAGAGGATTCTAGCCAATATATTTACCTGCTTTACTTTATATCCTAAATATAAAAACTGAATATCCTCTGTCTTTTTCTGACATAACTACCGTACTATTTATTATTAACAATATCCTAGACATTTGTTTTGTTCTTACTTTAATAAACTAAATCCTGCTACTGTCCCTTTTTATCTTTCAATTTAATTGCATTTTCTAACCTATCTATATATTCATTAACTATACTATCCATTTATATTATAAAACTTCTTTACTTTGTTTGGGATCCAAGGCGCCAAAGTCTTGAAGAAGAGTGGAGAGGCACAAAGTCTGTTAAAGGGGGGGTCATTATTAGGGTTTAGACAGTCAATGATGATTTGGGGTCCTCTTGTGGTGTTGCTCTCATATATTTTGATTATCTGATAAAAGGGTTCATAACAGGTTAAAAATATTTAAATATATTTTACTGTGTCCTAACAAATATTAAGGAAACCCTTTTTATAAACCGAAATATGTAACTCAATTATGTTGTTATTATGATCAAAATTTCTCCACAAAGTTTTACACTAGTATTTGTTAAAATTGGTTATTGAGGAAATTGCAAGGAGTTATTACTCTTCTGTCCACTAGATGGCGAAAGTGGCCGCAGAAAGTCTGTCTGGTTGGAGATGTTCAGTTATCTCCTCTGTGATAATAACTTAATGCAACTTAGTGATTTCAGTTGGTAAGAGGTAATGCATCAAATTTTTTTTGACCTAAACCTAAATTTTTTTTAGTTTTATATTCAAAAACAGAGAGGAGAAGCAGCGAACACAATTATGTAAATGAGCAAGTGTGCATCTGCTTGTGTTTCCCCTTCAATGGCTGTGATTGATGGGTCAGATGTTGTATTTTCCTATTCGTCTATTAAGCTAGTCAAACATTAATTGTGCTTCTGTTCATCTTGAACAGCTTTCATCCACATATGGACCTCTCCTCTTTGACACACGGCCCCAGAAGCCCCCATCTGTAATGCTAAAGCTGCCATGAAAAGGACAAAAAAAGAAAAGAAAAATGGGGAAAAAATACAATTATATGACTAAACAGACTCTGGGACTGTTGATGAAAATCCAAAATGCCAATACAAGAAATCTATTTTCTTTCCTAAAGACAGATGGTATTGTGAAATAGATGTTAATTCTAGGGTTGTTGAATAAAATTACCCCCATGGAAATTTATACCCAACTTATAAGAAGATCAGTGCCGCATTTGTGGTCTGCTGTGGGCCCACTCAACCCCTTTGCTGGTTGTAATTTTTCCTTTTGAAAACAACTGGATGGAGAAAACAGCTTGGAACACATGGCAGATCCATATAAGCAAAACATGGAGGGGAATGCATGCCAAACATTTGTACATAGATTCTCTTCTCTGGGGATAGAATTATGTACATTGCACAATAAGACAGTCACACAAATGCCTCTTTAGGGATGTACTTGGCATCCCTGCCCCTTCATTTGTGTATGAAATATATACAGTCAGCAGACAGCTCATTAGGTGTCTCACTTTTCTGTGCAGTGTGCACCCACTGACCTTTAGAGGAAAGTCTCCTTGTCCCCTTCCTCGTATGGCAGCCTCTTCCCCGCTGATCTCTAAGATATGTTTTGATTGGTGAGGATACATTAGGAACTTCAGGGGACTGGAAAACATGCTGTGTTGATTGTGCTGAACCTCAAAGCCTCGCTGGCCTCGTCTGTCACGGTGGAGCTTTCTCCAAACTAGATGTGAGATTGCCATTCCCATGGAGCCTGCTGGCAGTGCGTCCCACCAGCGTAAACATGCGTGTTTCTGCTTACTTCTCAGCCGCTGGGCTGAACTCCTGTTTGTTATGTGAAAAAAAAAGGTAACTCCTGACTGCTTTCACTCCGGCAGACTAAGGAAATTAATATTTCTTCATGTGGAAGTTATGTTTTAATAATTAATTTAAAACATGCATGTAATCCAACACATTTTAGTGTTTAAAAGCATATTCAAATGCTAACCCATGCATATACTTCTTCCCCTGTCTCAGCAATGTTTTTTTCAGGATTTTCCTGTCTTTAGATCAAGCTATCTCCCACTCAACTCTGACCAGCTAAGTTTTCTGTCTTAAAGTCAGTAAGTTAGTCATACTATATCCACCATGGCCATTGCATATTACGTTTAATGCCTAGTGATTTTTTCTGCCATAGTTGGTACTTTTGGATGTAGTTGAAGATGTATGCCAGTTTGGTCTAACATGAGATGGGCAAACTGTATACAAACTATGAACACATTTCCTCCAAAACTAACTCCTTTGATATCTGCTTTCCTTGCCCAACATGTTAGGTTGGCGACTATGTCAGGGTAGGTTTGCGGTTGTGTCGCAGTCAGGCTGGAAACAATGAACATAGCAGAGGTCTGACATTTTCTCAACACTTTCAAAATACAATTCAATTAGATAGATTTAGACTGTAGTTATTAAAAACTTTCTGATATTGACTGTTTGTAAAGCCAATTTTAGAACCAAGAAATGTTGTTCCCTCTATTTCCCAGAAATGCTTTCCTTTGTAAATGTCTACTATTATCATGTCTCAATCAAATATTTAAAATCTGGTAGCTGTGACTTTATAAATATGAAATAGTTCAACGGGGAAGGAACAGTTTTGCAAGGCCTGCATATTCCTTTAATAAATTATCTTTCATCTTTTTTTCTATTATATCAATTTATAACATATCAGCTGAAGTTAAATTTGGATGTGAAGTAAGACTTTGGATCTTGTTTTTCAGCTGTTTTTTTTTTATATGTTTCACATCTTAAGTTTATTATCACATAACACAGGTTCCTTCAGATCTTAAATTGCAGGGATGATTTCCTAGTTAGTGGGTGCTAGTGAGCCACAACTGGGGCAGCGCCTGGGAAGCTTGCCAGCCGATCAAAGGGCCTTCATTCGATCAAAGGGCAACCATTTATGCTTGCCCTCACATCTGAGACCAGTTTTTCAGTCACAGGTTAGCCAAACATGCATGCTTCTTGGCAATGAAGGGGAGCCCATGCACACTCCATAGACCTACAGGCCCTCAAAGCTGAGATTTAAACCAGAGGCATTTTTGAGGTCAGGAAACAGTGCAAACCACTACACCACCAGTAATCTTTGTCAACATCCATTGACCACAAATCAAGCTTGAATCATCACCTTTAAATGATGAGCTTGACTATGGAACATGTGCAGATATGTTTAATTTTAGCAAATGTTGTGCTTCATACTCTTACCAAATGCATTTTGTTAAATCCTCCTTCAGAGACTGTGAGTTCTGTTTAAATTAAAAACCTAAGATGTCCTGCCATCTTAGGTTTAAAATACTTTTCCTAAAACAGTTCTTTCAAACCATCCTTGATGTTTTGATTTTACTCTAATTATGGCCTGTAGAATCTACACAGTCCAGATTTTGATCTTCTAATGTTTACACTTTGTGGCAATCATACTAGATGTCCACCTCTGGGAAAACCGCCCTTTCTTTTAGAATAATCCTCCTCACTATACAATGATGGACTCCATATTGTTTGGGGATAGTCTTATAACTGTTTAAAGATTGATGGACCTTATAAATCCCTTCTCTTTGATCCTTTGTGATCTCATTTCTACTTGGCAGTGACCTAAAGGCTCCAGATTTCTGTTTTAGTGGAGCTGCTTACATTCTGGGATTCATCTGGTAATCAAGTGCATTGAATTAGCAACAGTTTTTTTGTTACTTTCTCTCACTAAAGGTTTCTGTTTTGGGTTGGTGTTTTGTTGGCTTTAAGGTGTGAGAATAAAAAAGACTTGATTCTATATGAGGGTAAAAGGGCCAACCCTTAATAAATCAACATTGAGTCAAAAGATTTTTTTACTTGCACATCTGCAATAGGAAGAATCCAACCCCTAATTTTTGCAGAGAAAATTTTATGACATCTTTTTTTTTTTTTTTTTTTTTTTTTTTTTAAGGAGTTGAAACAGCATGAGCAGGGGCTGTACTTATTAAAGTGATGAGTTGTGTTACAATGTTTTTCTTCCCAAAAACACGTTTTCCGTTGACATGTCCCATTCAACAAGTTGCTTCCTTGTCTCTGTTGGACAATACTGGAAATAGTAAGATATCAGGCCAAGACAATCTAACTTTTTGGATGTTGGATTGTCTTTATGTCTCCATCCATGCAGCCCGGATCTTGGTTAGTCTTATTCAATAAGACTAACCGAGGACCCACCACAATAATGTTTATAATTATACATATTGCCCCTCCAACATACATTTGCATTTTAGAGCTTTCTATTGGCTTACATTCATTTCAGTTGTTGCATTTATTCCTAACCCTAACATTCAGCCTAACCATTACCAATGTATTCCTAACCTTAACCTAAAGTTATTTCAAATCATACCTCTAAAGTAACTCCTTGAGATAGGGAGCTCATTAGGACCAGCCTTTGGTCCCCATAAGGACTGTTGGCCCTCAGAGAGTTAGTAGGTATAACAAAAATGGTCCTAAATAGGTAACAGGAAAACATGCAAACACAATGTATTCCATTATATTTACAGAGACTTTCCATTTACTTCCATTCGTTTGTCATTAATTTCTTTTGCTTAACACTGACCTTCATCCCAACACTACGAATCCACACACCCTGATGCACACTCAGTCCATCCCAGCTGCTGGTTTCTCCAGCATTTCGATTGTGTAATTATCTCTCTCCTAAAAAATTCTGCACTGATGACCGGAGTGTGATTATTCTTTAATCCCTCTGCTGCTGAATTTACAGTGGGAGTTTGCATGTTTGACTTAGATGACCTTATTGTGAGTCAGGCACGTGCGCTTTTTTCCCAGGTTGCAGGCCATGGCTCCGGTGCCCGACATGTAGAGGCGGGGTGATTTTAGGGGTCTCAAAGGCTTGAGGCGTGGGGAACGCCTGTTAGAATTTGTAGAAAGCAAGCACAAACTGAGTGTACAAACAGTATGTCCTGCTATGGTGATCTGCTGAAGTGATTAAAGCCAGGGGCTAAAAACAAGGCGGCAGACCTTTGAGGTGGTGGTGGCAGGCATGTATGCCTTTCAGATCATGTACTACAAGGGTACACAGCAGCTGGTCAGTCAC